GTGTGTGTTTGGGGGGGACTGGGGGTTCGGGGCTGATTTGGTCCCTGCCATTGTTAAAACCACTCATACGCCCTCGCTTTACTGCACGATGACAGAGGCAGGCAGAATAGATCCTGCGATCTGTGTTCCTCAGTATTCACACATGCCTCCAGTTAGCCTTGCAGAGCATCTTTTCTCTGTGATATATTCACACAGCTTGAGAACTGCATGACCTGTGCTCAGTGTTCACTGTCATCTCTCCTTGACTGCAGAAAGACCCACAGCCTTCCTCCACCAGCACTGCAGCAGGACCCAAATCTGTAGAGGTACGTTTAGCTGGTGTGGCTGCTGCCTTCGGTGTTCCGGCTGCAGCTGGGTTTGGAATTCCAGCTCCCTGCTCCATCTCCCAACCATATCCCCCAGTCTCCTCCATTTCTACCCCTTTCCATTTTGCCCTGGTGTTTTGTGTGTGTCTTCTGTTTCGTTCTTGACTCCTGTCAATTTTCCTGCTATCCTAGTGACTCTGCTTTTCCTTTAATAATGTTATAAAGCTTCTGCTTTTCTGTCACTGGAATTTTAAAATTTTACCCTCTTATTTATCCTTTGTCACTGGCCCTTCCCACTGAAAATCACAAGGTCAACTTGATATCACAATGTTTTAAAATCAGTCATTTTATATTTTGTTCCAAGTATAAACCACTTGCAAAACCTGCTTGATTCAGGACAACCTAGATCCACGTGATATGAGGTGCATGAGCTTTATTAGAGCTTTGCAGTTTAACTTACCAGGGGAGAAGAAGCACAAAAGAGCAATTTTTGCTTTTGATAAAGGGGAAAACACAGAGGACCAAAATCTAGGCATGAAGTCTGGCAAAGGGAAACTAGCTTGGGGTGTCATCACTCAAGAGGCTGACTGCCAGTTATTTTTTTTATTAGAAATGGATTTCAGGCGAATGAAGGAGATGGCGAGACAGTGACTCAGTGCTTAGCACTGTTGCCTGACCCCTTTAGGATTGAGGGTTCAGACACTGTTAGGTAGGATAAGTGGTGCCTCTCAGTTCCTCATAGTGTATCATTTAACGTGCGACAGCATCCCATCCAGGACATACCCCAGCCTTGCATCTGTGCTGCCTGGGATAGACTTCAGGGTCCCCGACTCCAACCAGCATTAACACTTAGAAGAAGGATAGATGGGATGTATGAATGAAGGACGTTGTCACATGACTTTACCCACCCTTGGGTATCCATGCCCTCCTCCCTTGCTATATTATTGTTTAAATCATTACTGCAAATCTGCACACGCTCATCTCTCTATTGACCACAGGGTAATTTATTGACTAAAATTGACTCTATTGACTAAAGGGTAATTTATAGCTTGAATTCTCCCGTTTAATCGGATGCTATGAATCTTGACCTGTGTCTAGGGTGACCAGATAATCCATGTCAGGGAGGACACTTTGAGCTACTTCGGGT